CACACTTTACTTTTACATCTGCTGATATACAGGGTTGCCATGGCAGCTGTTACGATGGAAACAACCACAAGCACGTCATTATAAACCTGTCATTTGGAGCTGTAAAGAAAACTTAACATCTTATAAATGTGGAATAAGCACTTCATCCCCTTGGGTAGACCCATTAGCTTCTTAGCAAGCTAGCTAACAACAAGCTAGAAAAGCAGGCGAGCTAAACTGTCCAGAACAGCGCGAATAAATTCAAAACGATGGACATTATTATTATTATTATTATTATTATTATTATTATTATTGAGTCTCCTTTGTATTGCACATGCACGCATAAAGAGTTAAACTTCGATTTTCGGAATGAAAAGGTTGCTAGCTAGCTAGCAAGCTAAATGAACCTAGCAGGCTAGCTAGCATGCTAATTCGCGCGAGCCTACGTTTGAGTGAGGCTTCCAAAAAAAACGCGCACGAGCAAGGACGATAATGAACATTTTTTAAATCTATCTATCTATATATATATACACATTTTGTCGTTAACGCGCTCAAAATGATCCGCGCGACTCACATGATAGGTTTCCATCAACAACAACAACAACAACAACAAAAAAAAATAAACCGTGAATGTTTTATTATCAGGCCGCCATTTTGAATTTGCCCAGAAAAGGAAATCGCGGAAAGATGACGTCACGCCGCCGAGGACCAATCGGAGGGACACCGGAAGTGAAAAAGAGCTGCGACGAGACAGAATTAGCGCCTGGGTAAGCGCTCGTCATGAGTAAATAAGTCGAAGTGTATGTAAAACGCGCCTGGAGAGAAATAAATACATTTTTAAAAAATGGCCCAGGAGAAGAAAGCGGGGCTGTTGAAAAGGACGTCGTCGTCTAAAAAGCCGCTGAAGGAGAAAGTGGTGCTGATGTACGACGAGATCTTCACGAAAGCTGACCCTGCCAAGGCGAACCCTCGCTTCTGGGACGAGCTGTTCCTGATGAAGGTGAACCTGGAGTATCTGGAGAACAAGCTCGAGGCCCTGGATGGAGACGAGGTGATGATGATTAAGGAGAACATGAACAGCCTGTTCCATCACTGCGTCCAGGCTCTGGAAGAAGACCACCAGATCAAAGTAGTCAACGCGCTGCAGACCCTGTGCGCGCTCTTCAGAGGGGTGCATCAGAAAAACAAATCAGCCTCGGGCTTCGACATCATCAACATGCTGGTGGGATTCGACAAGGCCGAGCTCAGGATGAAGGACCTCATGGAGAGCCTGGACAGCTTGCTCTGTGGAGACGGCTCGGAGAGCCTGAAGAGCCTGTGCCTGAAGTTGTTACTCTGTCTGGTCACGGTGACGGACAACATCAGTCAGAATACCATCCTGGAATACGTCATGATCAACAGCATATTCGAGGCCATTTTGCAGATCTTGTCGGACGTTTCGAGCAGAGCGCAGCTGGCTACGACACCGTGGTGCTCTTGGCTCTCTTGGTGAACTACAGGAAGTATGAATCGGTGAATCCCTACATCGTGAAGTTATCCATAGTGGACGACGAGCCAACTCTGGCTGGAATGGGTATGGTGATCCAGCAGGCTCTTATGGAATACAACAGGCAGTACAAGGAGAAAGAGGAGGACAACCACGGAGGGTTTTTTTCCACGCTGACCAGCATGGTAGGCAGTATGTTCATCGCCGACGCGGACGAGAAGCTGTCGGTGCAGACCAATGAAGCCATCCTGCTCGCTCTCTACGAGGCGGTTCATCTGAACAGGAACTTCATCACGGTTCTCGCGCAAAGTCATCCTGAGATTGACATCGCGACGACGCCACTCACGCCCACCCCGACTACACCTACAACCCCGCTTGGCACCACCCCTCCTTCATTAGACGCGATGCACAACGCCGAGCTGCCGCTCGACCCCAACCTTCAGACGAGCAACCTGCTCATTACGTTTCTCAAATATTCCTCCATCATCATGCAAGACACCAAAGACGAACACCGACTCAACAGCGCCCGACTGTGCCTCATCATCCTCACGTGCATAGCCGAGGACCAGTACGCCGACGCCTTCCTCCACGACGACAACATGAACTTTCGCGTCAACCTGCACCGGATGCCGATGAGGCACAGAAAGAAAGCGGCGGAAAAGAACATCCCGTCCCGCCCCCTCGCGTGCGCCGTCTTGGATCTGATGGTCGAGTTCATCATCACTCACATGATGAAGGACTTTCCCATGGACCTCTACATGCGCTGCGTTCAGATCATCCACAAGCTCATCTGCTATCAGAAGAAGTGCAGGATTCGGCTACACTACACCTGGCGGGAACTCTGGTCGGCCCTCATTAACTTGCTGAAGTTCCTGCTGTCGAACGAAACCGGCTTGTTGTCCAAGCACAACATCTTCCACTTGGCTTTACAAGTCGTCCATCTCTTCAACATGTTCATCACGTACGGAGACACGTTCCTGCCGACCCCGAGCAGCTACGACGAGCTGTATTACGAGATCATACGCATGCACCAGGTGTTCGATAACCTGTACTGCATGGTGCTCAGGGTCTCCGCCAACGTCGGCCAGTGGAAGGAACCGGCCAGCAAAGTCACCCACGCGCTGGTTAACGTCCGAGCCATCATCAACCATTTCAACCCGAAGATCGAGTCCTACGCCGCCGTGAACCACATCTCCCAGCTTTCTGAAGACCAGGTGCTGGAAGTGGTGCGCTCCAACTACGACACGCTGACTCTGAAGCTGCAGGATGGTTTGGACCAGTTCGAGCGCTATTCAGAGCAGCCCAAAGAAACGGCCTTCTTCAAGGAGTTGGTGCGCTCCATCAGTCTGAACGTCAGGAAGAACGTTTCTCCCAACACTCTGAGTCAGGATGTCCTTTTGAAGGAGTTCTCTTCTATATCTTGAGATCTTGACACAACCGCACGTTAACCGTATCTAAGGGTGGGAGACAATCGTCATGGTTGTCTATGTCCCCCATGTCCAAGTGTTGCTGGAAATCACACCTTGCTTAACACCCAGCGCTGAAAGTGTTTGCAATTACATTGATTATACTCGTTTTTTCTTCTTCAGTGTAAGGTTTCTTTTTTTCTTTCGTTTTTTCGGCTGTTGTTTTTACAGAGCATTCATCGGCCTTCTGTTTTTCCGAAAGTGTATTCGATTCCGATTAAATCAGTGTAATATGACATGATGCTTGATCCTGCCGTGATTCTTCTTCTTCTTCTTCTTTCTTTTTTTCATTTTATCGATACATATGTATTTTCTAAATGTTAACGAAACAAATGAATCATCTTGAATGAATACCCAGAGTGCATTAGTGCATTGAGTTGAACTAATAAATATCGCTAATATTCTTAAAGGTAGTTCAGTGTTGTCTAGGTATTGCATTCAAAAGATATTAACTTTGATTGCTACAGAATCCAAGCGAAGTTTTACATGTATGTATACGTATATGCCGACACCCACCCCACCTACACCTGCGATCCCGATCGGTACCTTCTCTGGACGTGATGAGCGACCATCGACACCAACCAGCAACTTGTTCTCCAAGTCAAGCAAGACGCCATCGTTCTTGTACGTATACCCGAGTCCTGCTACGACGATGACGACGTGATCGTCTCTCCAATCATGAAGGACTTTTTTCTCCTCAGGATCTAGCTGATCTATGAGAAGAAATGCAGATTTGGGCTGAACTATACTCCGAGAGAACTCAGATCAGTGCTTGTTAACTTGCTTATTGGCTAAACACGTTTTTCACTTGGCTCTACCGGTTGTCCACGTCTTTGTGCCCAATCTGAGCAGATCTGTTGACCTGTACTACGAGATCAGGTGATCAGAATCCCCGCCCATGCGTAAATGCTGATGCGCTTGATAACGTCCGAGGCATCGTTTACCGTTTCATGTCCGAGACTGAATCCTATTCGGAGCAGCCAAGGAGGTTGTTCTTTTCAGTGTAATCGGCTGTAGGTCCTTAGACGACTGTCCATATGCCGTAACCATAGCGACAAAAAAACGTCAATGATCCATCGTGTAGCTGCTGATTTTCAGGTGCAGTTCTTCCTGGATTCATGGTTTAACACCCAACCTGCATGTGTTTGCAGATCTTCAGTATATATATATATATATATATTTGTTTTGTTTTATGGAGCGTTTATTGCTTTTCTGTTGCAGGTGGTCTGCGTTATTTCCTCCTTCTTTGACTATGTTCATGACTAATCATGTTTTCCGTGTCCCGCTGAACTGCTTGACTTTATCTCGATACCGAGCACGTTTACAGACTCGATTTAATTTACAGCGTGCTTTAGTGAACCAGCAAACAATTTCTGACAATATTTAAATTGGAGTAATTATTATTTTTTTGGATAAATCTTCAGTTCCGGGTGTGATGTTTTCAAATTGTTTGAATATTGTTATTATTATTATTTTTTTTATTCGAAGGAAAGGAAGATTTTAACTTCTACATAACGGTCAAAACCCATTAAAGAAATGAATCACATTTACGTAGCGACCGGTCGAGCTACTGTTATGACCCTTGACGTGTTTGTATTCGCATTGTTACTGCTCGCAACGTTCACCCGCACCATGTGCTTGTTTCATTACTGGCATTGCTAGATTGTCATAGAAAAGAAATGAAATAAAAAAAAACAACTTGAAGAGAAAGAAAAGGCTTGTTGTATGATTAAATGGCATACTGCAGTGCATTGTGGGACTTTAGACGTGCACTGGAGATGCGCCAATATGCTACCAGATAGAGGATATGGTATGATTTTTTTTTTAAATCACGTGTTCACTTTCCCAGCAAATCAGCTCCATCTGGTTGCCTCTGCACCATCCAATAGACCTCCAGTAGAGTCCCAGAAGGAAAAAGAAAAAAACACCACGTGACACGTTTCTGAATCTGGAAGATCTAATCATAAAGATCACAATAAAGCAAAATTAAGACAGAAGTAGTGATATTATAGCGTAGAGATTAGAACCTGTGGCTCGGGGCAAAAGCATTGCAGCTGTGTGTTCCTCCTGGCTCTGTGGCGCAATGGATAGCGCATTGGACTTCTAAGCTGAAGGGTTGAGGCCATTCAAAGGTTGTGGGTTCGAGTCCCACCAGAGTCGTACATTTTGTGTTGCAGGAGACAAAAAGAAAAATAAAACGCAGAAAGATGCAATACCGAACTGCTCCGATAAAATAATCTAGAAGAACTTGTCTCGGTCTTAAAGAAATAATAAATAACCGCTGGACGACTCGTAATACACAACTATAACAAGGTAAAGCTGACTTCACTTAGATCGTCCACAAGGGGGCAGCATGTGCACATGTACAGAGCAGAACAACAGCCGTGGAGGAAAGTTCAAGAAACTGCTTTACCTCAAAGAGCGGACAGTGGAGACTCATTCTGTACATGTTAAATATTTGGGTATAGATGGATGACTAGATAGATAGAAAAATAATGAAATGATGAGAGATAAATAGATAGTTGATGAATATAAAAAAGACTTAATGATAAAGAAAAAGACATGAATCCTAAATGTATAAATGTGATCCCAGGGTCCAGTATGTAGCACACTGAGAATCTGGACTTAGAATTAAGTAGTTTCTTAAGGTATTAGCTTTGGTTAACCCTGGGGAAATATTTATATTTATATTATTATTATTATTATTATTAATTTTATTATTGTTGTTGTTGTTGTTGTTGTTGTTGTTGTAGTTGTCATGGTTGTTGTTGTTGTTCAGGACATACATGTATAATAATAAGCTAATAATACTGATCACAGGGGGCGGGGTTATCAGAGGTGAAGGGGCGGAGCTCTCTCTCAGTTCTCTGTAATGAAAGTGAAAGTAACATTCCACTTCCTGCTGACGGACTAAAACAGGAGGAATGTATTTGTGTGTGTAGACAGGGGGGAGATTTTACACACGGGGTTTAAACTGTAATGAGCTCAATACTGAATATGAGCCTCTCTGAAATGTGGACACACTTCAGCTAAAGCAACAGATCTCTTTATATCTGAGGAACAGAAAAGGTAAGAGGAGTTAGCATCATGCTAAAGTACATGTTAGTCACCATGGACTCAGTAACCTGTTAAACTGATCCTCCAGAACACACTGTGGAATTGTGCTTTCTAACCATGTATTAGTGTGAGGAAATCTGTGTAAAAGGATCACTCTCTCTTCCTGTGTGTGTTCAGGATTTTATTAGTTTGAACCTACAGAAAGAGATCAAGATGGCGACTGCAAGCAGTAAGTTACATTTCCAGAAATATATGTATTAATATTATTTATTTTGGAGTAAACTAATTGTGTGTGTGTGTGTGTTTTCCTACACAGATGAGTTTAAACTCATTGGTCCCAGTGGTACAGAGGAGTATAAACCCTCTGCTGTCACTCTCTCGTGTTGTCTGTCTCCTGAAATCAGTGCTGTTGACATGGAGATCCGGTGGTTTAAGGAGACAGACTGTGTTTGTGTCTATAAGAACAGACATGTGACAGAGGGGAGAGGTTACGAGGGCAGAGTGAGTCTGTTCACTCAGGAAATGGAGAGAGGAAACGTCTCCTTACAGCTGAGAGACTGTAGAAGGTCAGATGAAGGACATTACCTGTGTCAGGTCACTGATGGAGACAGAACAGTGGAGATTACAGTAGAGATGTGTAAGTGTTCCTGATCTCCACACTGCATAAACTCAACATCATCATCTGTGCTTCTCATCTCAGTACATGAAACACACACTCAGTATTCAGTATGAGGTTCAGTATACAGGGTGCTAATGTGGAGTGAAGTTCATTTTAGTTGAATAAACAGTACGTCTGTTTTTCACTCTGCTACACACCTGCACAAGGGCCTAAACGCAGCGCGCCGTACAAATATCAATTAAATCCTGATTCATCATTTCATTAAGTTTGTTTATCTACTAATCAGAGATGGACTCGATATCAGTTTAAACTGAAACAATCAGAGACATTTCTCCATCAGAGAGGAAATGATCTGTTGTTATATTTGATAAAAATATTAAAATTGTAGCTGAACATCTTTGTACTGAAAGCACAGAGTGAAGATTGTTTAGCAGCGATTCTGACTGTAAATCATAAGTTTTTCTCTCTGTATTTTATCTAACATTACATTTCTCTCTGTTGTTTTACACGACAGCTTCAGTACGGGTAAGTAAATAACTCGACTTCACACTAATGGTAGCGGCTGATATTTTATAAACTTATCACATATATTACATTTGAATCCAGGGATGAAATAGAAAGATAAAAAGCATTTTCAGATCATGTTTACGTGAAGGACTCTGATCAGTAAGTGAGATTCCACTTCCATCAGCCAGCTTCTTTCCCACAATGCTCCTGTGCGTAACCCCACTGCACTGCAATAATGTAGGCAGAGACGTTTACCATGTCGAGTAAAAGACACAACAAACATATAACATATAACACACACCACTGCCAGACTCCATCAGAATCTTATTCAAAATCATACACCAATAAAATCACCAAATTTCCCAGGATTCCTCTGGATTAAACAGGGGTCTTTTGTGTGAATATCCAAGTACCATTTCACCTTTTTGGATTATTTTCATAAGGTGTGACTCCTAAATATTGAACTATAGATTTAAAATACACAGGGGAAATGCACATATACTGACATACTGTATATTGGTAAATACATGCGTTTATCAGAAAATAGTATTTTCCAATAAATCACAAGATATTTCTGTTCCTTAAGGGGAACTAGCGGTATATTAGCACAATGCTACATTCTACAGATTTACTGTGTGTGATGACTGATTGTTGTCTAGTTTTCCTCTTTTTTATTAAGACACACATCAGCTGTGTTTTAACCAGAGTAACAGTTACTTTCACATTTTCACATGGAACAATTCACATTTGACTTCATGCATAAAATCTTCACACTGTATTATTTACTTTCACAGAGACTTCTTACAGGTGAGTATAAACACTTTTCTGTGATGGTGATGTGTTGATGCTGCATGAATAATATATTTATTGTGCAGATGAAATAGATTAGACTGTGCTGTGTGTTCAGAGTGCAATAGCACATAGATATATGAGCATCATGAGCATAGTGTAGTGAACACAACAGACTGTGATCGCTGCAGAACATCCATCATGCTGTAGTCTAGTTTGTCATTAGTGTTATACACACACAGAAATCTGACCTACACACTGATACTGAGAGATACAAAGCTGAAGGTTTCTTTACAAAAGACACACACACTCATTAGTGAACAATCTGATCTAATGGAGCTAATAATCAGAGATGGGCTCGATATCAGTTTAAACTGAAACAATCAGAGACGTTTCTCCATCAGAGAGGAAATTAAACTACACACTAAATGTGTCTTTAGATTGTTACAGTTACTGGATATCCAGTAGATCAGACTAGATCACTGCCACATCTAGCACTGAGAACCACAACAACACACAAAGCTAGCTAATATCGGGCAGCGAGTTTGTTCTGTAGACTGTGTGCTGTGTTTGAATGAGCGCAGTCAGAATGAGCACAGTTACACTGAGACATCGGAGATCAGACTGCTGCAGAATCAGACAGAGCCACGGTGCAAGCACTAACCGCCTAACGCTAGGTAAAAGACAAGCTCTTGTTGAAAGTGAGCGGTTCGCTTTTTACCTTGTACTCAGTAACTGTGAGAGTCACATTGATGATCAAATCAACTCCAATATTTTAAACAGGATGAAAATACACCATGTAAAACAATTCAACATAAACATTAGTGACAGACTGTAGAGTTCTGAGACCAAGAACAAAACTCCACCAGCATGACCTCAGAGGCTTCATCCAATAGAGAGATAAACACACAGATACACTTCAAGAGCAAAGGAGCAGATATTACAGTTTGATCAAAAAAGTAGATGATGGACAGATGAGACAAAGATTACGCTAGCAGCAGAGTGATGAAAAGAGGAAAGTGTGAAGAAAAAAGAAAAGCGCTCATGATCCAAATCAAAGCAGCACTTCTGTGAACCATGGAGACATGGACATTTATGGAAGAGTAGAACTTGTCTTTATTTTCCCCTGATACAGATAGAAATGGATTAAAATATGGTGATGCTCAGCATTTTCACTTCATATGGAGTGTTTTATTCAACAGTTGATCACAGATATGTGTTACTGCACGGAGAAAAACACTCCATGAAGAATTTAATGATTTAAATATAAACTATTTATAATGATTCACTATCTGTTGTTATATTTGATAAAAATATTCAAATTGTAGCTGAACATCTTTGTACTGAAAGCACAGAGTGAAGATTGTTTAGCAGCGATTCTGACTGTAAATCATAAGTTTTTCTCTCTGTATTTTATCTAACATTACATTTCTCTCTGTTGTTTTACACGACACCTTCAGACTGGGTAAGTAAATAACTCGACTTCACACTAATGGTATTTTATAAACTTATATATTAGCACAATGCTACATTCTACAGATTTACTGTGTGTGATGACTGATTGTTGTCTAGTTTTCCTCTTTTTTATTAAGACACACATCAGCTGTGTTTTAACCAGAGTAACAGTTACTTTCACATTTTCACATGGAACAATTCACATTTGACTTCATGCCTAAAATCTTCACCCTGTATTATTTACTTTCACAGAGACTTCTTACAGGTGAGTATAAACACTTTTGTGTGATGGTGATGTGTTGATGCTGCATGAATAATATATTTATTGTGCAGATGAAATAGATTAGACCAGGGGTGCTCACAGTTTTTGTTTTTGTGCCAAGCTACTTTTAACATGACCAGTCAAGGAGATCTACCTACATTAAAAATGCTATAGTATAGTATATTTATTATATGTATACTGAGTATACTTAAAATATATATACACACAATATATGTTCATGTACCTTGTATAACTGCATGAACCCTTATGACACACTACAATTCAGTACATTTTTGGTCAATACCTTACTCTGAGGACTTGCACTGAATAGAATCAGTCAGGGTTACACAGTCCGGACAGTAGCTGCTGGTAGCCAGCCTCAAGCAGGTCTCCAAATGATGATCAGTCATTGTGGAACGGTATTTGGAATTAATGATCTTCATGTGGGAAAAGGCTGACTCACATACATAA